ATATCATTGCTACCACCATGTTTGCAAGCAGACCCTTGAGCACTGGGGGAAATTTAATTGCTAAAGAATGGAAATTAAGCAGACGTAAATGATTTGGTCAATAAAAATAGTATTCACAACAGATGGAATGATCAACTGAAGCAAAAAATGATTGAGATAGTGATGCCCATGGACGTCCAAGACCTGTTTATAATAAAGACAAAGACTTTCAGAATGCAGCGGTATTAGCAATACATGGAGATTATTGCTCAACATAGGGTTACACAGTAAAGGACAATTATGTAATAAATGAATTAATGCCTTTATACATGAAAATTATGGTAGTTATTTGTGTGGTCTTCTAGAATACCTTGTGTAGTACACAAAAATAATGAAAAACAACCGTATATTTGTAAGGAAACTGGAATTATTATAAGATTCTGGTGATATTTTCCATTCTTCAAAACAAAAAAGGGCTAATATAAGGGGGAATTTTTACTTACATTTCCAAGAGTGAGTTAGGTTACCAACCTAAAATATGTTATTTTGGGTTTAAAAAGTCACCAGCAGTTATTACATTCATGTTTTGTAAATTACACAAATTTATTTAGGGTATTGAAGCTGCTGTTAAGTTGTTCTTTAATTTTTTTACATATAATATGTAGTTTATTGGATTTTGGCAGCCATTTTGAAAAAAACGCCCTCACGCAAAAGTTCTCAGGTTACGCCCCTTTTACCTCACATATTCTGATTCCCCATAAAAAAACTGGTCAAAAAAACCATATTGGAATTTCTACCTCTCCAAGTGGCACCTATCTCAATTATAGCCTGGTCTAATTATTATCAAATAGAAAAATAACGCTGTTCGTTTAGACACCTGGCCCTAACTTAAACTAAGCCTAGATCTAACCAAGGTAGAGAAGCTAATGGAATACCTATTATTAGGTTAGATCTAGGCCTAGCCTCAAATTGAAAGACTAGCGACGTTCGGCCTAGCCTAGGCATAATTAAATTATAAAAAAGCACAACCATAGCTGCACTAAAAATCTCACAAACAGAACACAATCACACTGATCTAAACATCACTAAAATTAACATGACTTCACTTACCGATTCAACTCTAACTCTAAACGAACACATCCGACACCGTCATGCTCTAAACTGATTGAAAGCCACGCCGCCGGGACAATGTGGATCTCGAAAAGGCTCCGAAAAGCACTCGAGCTTTATCGCGCTTTCGGGCTGGAAACCGAAAACGATCCGAAGCTCTTCGGAAAATTCATCTGGAGTCCTGGAAAAAAATCGAGATTTTTACTGCCGTACGTCGAAATTAGTGTCGCTGCTCGTCTGCTGACCATTTAACGATAACGAATGCACTAAAGACACATTTTAGCTCACTCGCCAAGAATAGAAATAGTGAAACAAGAAATGACGATATTCAATTAATAAACCAAACTGAAATCCCAATCACTGAAAATAGGCACATGTTGAACGATTTAAACTTTACATGTAATGAAGTGTCATATCCCAAACTAAAAATAATAAAAGCCCAGGAAACGATAAAATATCAAATGAAATGTTGAAAAATGGCGGAGATGAAATGATCATATCTATGTATACATTATTTAAAAGACTAGCAAACTTAAAACATATACCAGATGAATGGAATGAAGGAGCGATCATTCCATTATTCAAAAAGGGAGATAGGCGTGATCTAAATAATTATAGAGGAATCACTATTGATTCTTGTGTCGCAAAAGTCTACAATAAAGTTATCTCCCAGACTGTGTCAAACTTCCTTGAAGATAACGAACTCCTCACTGAGGTCCACGGTGGATTTAGGAACGACAAAAGATGTGAAGATCACATCTAAATTCACTTTAAAAAGTATTATCGCTACCCGCTAAGCGGAAGGTAAAAAATCCTACATGGCCTTCTTGGATTTAAAAAAAAGCGTTTGACACAGTCTGGAGAGCTGGATTATTCACTGCGGTCGAAAGGATCGGTATAGGAGGCAACCTCCTAAACAAAAACCTATATGTTAACATTAAAGGTAAAGTATCTGCAGGTAATTATGTTACTGATCCATTTGAAATTGAAGAAGGTGTCAAACAGGGGTGTACATTATCTCCATTATTATTCATAATCTATATTAATGAATTAAACAAAATGATCATGCATAGAAAGCTAGGAATAAATATTTTTGATACCATAATCGGTTGCCTTTTCTGGGCTGATGATGTAGTCTTGATCGGTGAGAACGAAAAACAACCAAATGAACTATTAAAAACTACAGACGAATTCGCAAGAAAATGGAAAATGAACTTTAATTATAACAAATCAAATGTCTTAATATCAGGTCAAAAATTAAATAATTATAGAAAATGGAAATTGGACGATAACTATATAACTAAAGTAGATGACTACAAATACTTAAGTGTAATTATTTCAAGATCGTTGTCCGATTCACATCACATCGATTAAGTAATCAGAAAAGGTAACCAAATTATTGCGTACATTAAGTCTATTATAAACAATCAGGACGACTTCAATACAGTGTACTATGGAGATATACTATGCAGAACAATAGGTCTACCAACCGTAAATTATGCATGCTCTGTATGGTTCTGTGCCGGAAAATCGGCCACTACCAAACTAGAAAATCTCCAATACCAGATGGCTCGAACTATGTTATGTGCACCACGAAATGTAGCTAAAGACGCCTTGTATGGAGATCTAGGCTGGCAATCAATCGAATCAGTTCAAAACAATTTAATGATACAATTTTTTAACAGACTTAAAAAGATGGATGAAAAAAATTATTCAAAGCAATTAATCATTTTAAAAAGTCATTAAAATGGAAATGGCTAGATACAATAAAAGGTTTTTTAAATAAATATGGTCACTCAAGAATGTACAATACTGAACCTCAAAATGGCTAGATGAAAGAATTTAAAAAGAATAATAAAGAGACTGATGCTAAAACATGGTTAGAAAATTGTAAATTAAAAAGTTCACTAACAGAGTATATTAGATACAAAGACAGACCTATATTTGAACCCTATCTGCTAGACAAAATAAATTTCAAAGGAATTACATTATAATTCAAAACACGAACTAATTCTCTAAACCTAGAGGCTAAAAAGCAGACATGGTCAACACAAAACAATGCTTTTTGTAAATTATGCTCCCGAAATTTAAAAGAAACAACCGACCATTTTTTTTATTTATTTGTGATAAAATCCAGCCATTTAGAGAAAAGGTTCATAATGATTTAAAAAATGACCTTGTTACATGGGGATTAGATGAATTTTGGAAATCATTTATTACCGGATTGTTAGATTATAAGCGTCATTTGTTTCTCGATAATCTTAATGACCAAATTGGTAACCATAAATTAGCAGAAATATTTAATAATTATTGTAAGGTATTTCTCGAAGGCGCATGGAATTTAAGATCTAAAATATATAAATCCATGGCCACATTACCACCCGTTACACTTTAATTAGTTTTTGTATTTTCTTTTAATCTGTTAATATGAACCTTCATGATCAGTCAGTTCTAAGCTCTATATTTTGTTATAAATATCTTGTAATGTTAGTTAGTTGTCTGTTAGTTCTAGCTCCATATTAACTTGCAATTCATACAGCAACTCTGTAAATAATACGGTCCTGTAAGACTACCGGTACCATACCACATAGACCTACATGCCATGTTGATAAATTTTACTTTGTATATACATTTTAGTTTAATTTACTCCTAGTTTAAGTTTATCATTTTTCTCTTATATATGGATGCACCGTTGGGTATTGTCCAACGTGTGCCACTGTTACGAAAGTGATATCCAAAATTGAAATTGATTCGCAGAAATGAGGTCTGTGAGATTAAAATTATTGTTAAAGTAAGGAGTATCTTCCCAGCCACTAAAGTGCAAGTTATCTTTATTGTGTTCAATACAACATAAAAAGGTATAAAACAGTATAAATTGTATACAAATTGCAAGACATAAAGAGTATACAATAGTGTGCGATGTGATGTACCAATTGATTTTTGAAAAGGACACAAAAAAATCTTAAATCTTAAATCTTGAATTTTGATTACTATTATTAATAATAATAATAATAATAATAATAATATAATTCAATTAATAGAATTCATGACATTTATATTTTTTAAATTATGTCTAGAATCATAAGCATGAACTTTATTGACCTGAGCTCATATGGCAACAGAAGCGTATTGGCCCACTCACCGCAAAAACTGATTATAGCAAAAAATGAAATACAATCAATTTCAAGAAATCATTTTAATGGATTGCAATCTCTGGAACAGATGTAAGTTTTTTTTTTTTTTTTTTTTTTTTTTTTTTTTTGTATAATAATAGTATTTTTCGAGTATAATAAATCCATTATTTTGTTTTTACGAATAAAGTTGGTTCAGCAACAAACGCGTGTTCCACCACTTGATATTATTACTTTTTTCACAATGGCACTACTTGGTATTTGTACTTTGTCATTTGAGGTTTTAAATCTGGCACTTTACTTTTTCTCCGACACCTTCGCTCTTTGCCATTTGTGTTTGTTTCCTTTAGACATTTTCACCAGGCTAACCTTGGTTTAAGTTTTTAACATTTTAAAACAATCTCAAACAACAGTTTTAAACGTTTGCAATAGTGACAGTAAACGCATAGTAGCAGCATAGTTAGAAATAGGGATAGTATTTTGAATAAATATTATCTCAATAATGTATCTCTTATGTAAGAGTTTTAACACTTGTATGGAAAAAACTCGTGTATACATGGCCTAATTTTTAAACAAAAGTAATTAATAATGAGATAAAAAAACATTTATATAAGAATACTGTTCATTTATCTTATTGGATTGATGCATTGTTATTGCTTTTACAACCCTAAAGACTTATTTACCTGAATAGGATATCATATATAGAAGATAGATCTTTCAGTGGAACCAGTCTCACGTATTTGTAAGTACGTTTTTATTACTGATGGTACTGGAAAAAATACTAATGAAATATTAAATATAATTTTGCTTAAGAACATATATTATCTATAGTGAAGCAATGTATTCTTACAATTATTTTTTAGATATATCTATGGAAATAATCTCCAGAAAATTACAAGTGAAATGTTCAAAGTAGACATTGGTTCACTTCAATATCTGTAAGTAAAATGAAAGAGTAAGCCCCTACATCAAGTATCAGAACCATTCAATGCCCTTTAAGAAACATTTTTTTTCTTGTAGTTATCTATTTAATAATCCGATTGAAGACATGGAACAAGGCACATTGTCTTATCTGGCACCGAAATCAACAGTGTAAGTATAAACTAACTCTGAACGTGTATCAAAAGTCACCAAATATCGACCTTCAAATTTATATTTAAATGTTAGTTATGGTATACAACAGTTTTGAATTCCTAATATGTATACTTTATTTATACTTACATGCATACTTTTACGCTGAAAATAATATATTGTGTAAAACTTTTTTTAATTTTTTTTTATTTACCATTTTATTCATTTAATTATACATTTCATTCAAAATGAAAATAAACAAAAACAATTAAATAAGTGCCCTTCTTTTCAATACATAGAGTAGTATACATATAACAACATTGAACATTTTTATAAATTCTTTTTCTAGTGAAAATATAATATTGTATTTCATATTCAAAACCTGTTGTACCATTACGTTAAGTGAAATATTTATATACCAGAAGCCAGGGTAAGGCCATGACTTGAAACATTTAAATATTCATTATTAAATTTGAAGCTTTGAAAAAGAACATGCAGTGAAGACCAAAATGAAGAGAATTTCTCTTGATTACATGCGGAAAAATATATATATCTTGTAATATCATAGTATCTAACAATTTCTCTCTTTATATTTGTTATATATGGCAATACTTTCTGTTTACTATTTCTATAGATATCTATATTGAAAACTAATTAATGTTTACTTGTAAACAGTACAGATCAATAGAATGACAGTTTCCTCTGTTTTCAAATGCTAAAATGGCAATCATAAATTTCCCATCACAACTGTGGTGATGTGCAGAACCGCAGAGCAGTGGAAATGAAAATATAAGCAAACAAATTAGGTATAAGTTATACTGAATTATATGATTATAAATTGTAGGGGGTTCAGTGAGTCATACTCCAGCGGTGGTATGAGCAGATTCGTACACGATGTATTTAGTATTGTATGTGTATGCGTGTTCGCGGTACTAAGTATTTCCTAATAGCTGAAGGTTATTAAAAGGGCTGCCTTTAGTCCATAATGCAAGATAACTTACTCCTGCACTGTACCATATGCTTTTAATTACACGGCAGGTGGCAATTGAGTTGTTAAACTCCATTATTGCGGTTCAAATTGTTCTTGGTTTACATAGTTACCTATCTATTATATTTTATTAATAAGGTATCTGAACTGTGCAAATCTCGAGTATATCCCGTCGAAGATAGCAGAACACACAAATGCGTACGTAACTTTAAATATTCAAGTTCCGTTTATTATCAAGACTCATTGTAGGGAAAATTATCAATTATACTATTACTAAAATATGCGTAACACTGATGACAATTTTGTCTTACAAAGGAATGAGTTTATTTATGGGCTGGCGGCACATTGCAGCACCATTGTAGGAATGTACTGCAGCCGTCATTAGTGGACATGGATACAGCCGAAATATAGTTACTTACCTAGAACCAAATTCAGTTACTTTAGTTAATTAAAAAATTTATGTTGTTTCGTTATTTATTTTAATTTAGAATATGTGTCACTAATAAGACTGTACTCGATTTCAAAGTTGATTATTTTTCAACACTATATTTATTTGGAATGACGTGCACTGGCCCAACATGCCAGCCTTGCGGTCTTGGTTCATACGGGAAGCTTTCAGGATCAGGTTGTTACACTTGTCCAGCAGGTAAATAGCTAATGTCCAAATTAATTCAATTATAAAAATAACATTTTTGTTGGTGGGTAAGTTCGAAAATTAAGAATATTATTATCATCGTCGTTATTGTCGTCGTTACCATTGTTATCTTTATTTTCATCGTCATTATCATCAACATCATCATCGTCTTCATCTCTATCATCGTCATCATCATCATAATTATCATCATCACAATCATGGTAATTATTTCAAACAGTGAAAGGGACAAAAGTCTGTTTCCCAGAGGCAGCATATTCAGAAGTTCAAATGACCTCAAAACCTCAAAAGAAAACATCAGAGCAGCATAACACTTTGAGTCAAAATAAAGGTAGGAACCTAACCTGTAGCTTGCAGCTGTAATTTGCCTGTATTTCCCACATGCGTGGACTAACTAAATCAACTTTTTTTTTCTCTCCTATGGGTCACATGTCCAATCAGCTGCAAAGAGGTCCACTTTCGTTTGTCCGAGCCAACACGGGGAGCCAAACGCGACATACTACCTGTTCGTGTCATACAAAACCATGTTTGTAAGGGACACATCATGTTTTGTAATATACGAAAGTTATTCTGTGTTTACAAAACATATCTTGTAAAAGAAAAATCTATGTTTCTCTGTAAACACAATGTTTTGTAATAGACAAAACCTCGTTTGTCTGTACAAAACACGTTTTTGTAAAAGCCAAATCCATGTTTGTCTGTACAAAAAATGTTCTGTAATAGACAAAACCATGCTTGTACTAAGATGTTTTGTAAAAGACAAAACCACATTTGTCTGTACAAAACATGCTTTGTAAAAGAAAAAAAAAAACATGTTTGTCTGTACAAAATATGTTTTGTAAAAGACAACGCTATGTTTGTCTGTACAAAACATGTTTTGTAAAAACAAAACCATGCTTGTCTATGCAAAACATGTTTTGTAATAGACATAACATGTTTTGTAAGACAAAACTATGTTTGTCTGTTCGTTTATTGTGATGCCGTCCGCTCGAATGAATGATGGCCTGGCTAGGCCTAGCTCGCCTACTAACTGAGGGCTAGGCTCTTATCCCATTCGATATGAGCAATTTCTTCCCTTGATTTGTCAAGTTTATCCTTTTCTTCAGATAGAACGTCATTTCAAACCAGTTTTATTGCATAATTCTAAAAAATCTTCGTTTTGAATTCGGTTTGAAAAAAAGCCACATTAAACCTTTTTTATTGCGGCAATCTGCGACTAATGGGAGCAGCATCTCAATCACGCGTTTAATTGACTTCACAGGTTTTGTAATAGACAAAACATGTTTTTATATCATCGACAATGTGCTGTAGGCAGTATACAAGGTCATATTTGTAGTTTTCAGACGGAGCTAAGTAGAAAGCACAGTTAAAGACATAATATTGTTCTGGGAAGTCTAGTAGGTCTGAATTTAATCCATATTCGAGGTTGTTGGTTTGCTCTATGTCAAATTGAAGTATTTCTGCATTCATTAAGTGAATACTACCACACTAATATCTAGGCTACTACCTAAGCCTGCCCGCACAACTGCTTGAAACAAAAACGTAAGGCCGACACTTTCTGGACTGGATGTCAATAGAGATTGAAAATGTTGGTCTCAACAGTTTGGTTAGAATCTAAAGATGCTCTGTCAAAATATTTTCAAATCGCATAGATTGGCTTAAGAATAAGATAGGCTAGGACTTTGCTATAATATATGCTACTGTGTATGATGACATCCTAGTACTATAGTAGTAGTACATGAGGTTGTGAAAATACTGCTGACTACATATATTCCTCATATTTTTTCATTATGTGAATGTACCGTAAAGTAGCAATAATTATCACTTTTCAGTGATTATTATTATTGTTTATTTCCTTATACTATTATAGTTTAACAGGAAAAATATGATTTTTTTTAACTATATTATGGAAGTACTGTTTATTGATTCATGTTCAGGAATCTCTCAGGAATTTTTATTTTGCATTTCTATCATTTTTTAACCATACCCTGTGTGATGAGTTAATTGAAAAATCCAAATAAATAGTTAATTGTTTGTAAATTTTATATTTCAATTTGATTTTTAAAAATTAAAATGTTTCATATTTTACTGGATTGTGTATGTTTAATATATATATATATATATATATATATATATATATATATAAAACAGAAAATAAGACAGAAAATAAGACAGAAAATAATGATGCGGAAACGTTGAGTTAGACAGTAGAACACAATATAATTTATTCAGAAAACGAATATTTCGTCTTGTCCTCAAGCCTTCATCAGCGTATCTGATTACAAAAGTTGGCAAATACCAGATCCTATGTAAAACAATAAACAGTTGGAAATAAATAAAGGAGGGTGATTAAATGAGATAAACAATATTGGAGACATGGAGATAATGATATATAATGGGAGCGAGATAATGAGTAAAACAAAGTACTTTGATATCGAGAAGTGGAAGCGATAGCCCATGATACAGATACATATAATGGCAATAAAAATTATAAGATAATATATAAGCCTATATGTATGTATGTACATTATATGATATAATGTAATATAGTATAATAATGATAATAATAATACTAATAATAATAATAAAAATAATAATAATAATAATAATAAAAATAATAATAACAATTACACCATTAACAAAATAAACAAAACAAAGTAAACTGGGTCAGCCTAAATACAAAAGAGATGCAGAAGTCAAAATTAGTAAGGGGGGGGGGGTTGGGATACTCTTACTCGCTAACCGCCAACCCCCCAACCTCAAGTCTATCCTCACGTGGTCCAATTTACTCCCTAACCCGACTTCCCATGGTAATATTAAATGCAACAAACCACGCTGTAAAGTATGCAAGCACCTCGTCACCGACAGCGTTGTTAGGCTCCCACATACCTTTTCTTCTATCAATCCCCCCCCCCCCCCATCTGTGACTCTTCGAACGTCATATATCTCCTCATTTCCAATATCTGTGATCATGGCATTTATATAGGCGAAACTGGAACTAAATTTAGACTCCGGTTTACTAACCACAAACAGTCCGTCCGTAGCAAGAGCAAGGGGTTCCACTCCATTGACAACATCCGATGTGTTCTGCTGGCTAACAATTTTCCATCTCTTAACCATAGAAGACGCTCAGAGCTCAAACTCATTATCAGATTCAATACTCACATTTTGGCCTTAATCGTGACATGGGTATTCTGAGCGATTACACGTTCACACACACTTGACTTTTTTTCATACCACCGTATTCCCGTTTCATTACATTATGTACACCTTGTTATAATCCATATCACTTGTATTATGCTATATTTAATTTTGACTTTGTATCTAGGATTACCCAGTTTACTTTGTTTTTGTTTATTTTGTTAATGGTTTATTATTATTATTATTATTATATTATTATTATTATTATTATTAATTATATTATTATTATTATTATTATTATTATTATTATTATTATACTATATTACATTATATCATATACTGTACATATATATGTATGTGCATTAGGCTTATATATTATCTTATAATTGTTATTGCCATTATATTTATCTGTATCATGGGCTATCGCTTCCACTTCTCGATATCAAAGTACTTTGTTTTACTCATTATCTCGCTCCCATTATATATCATTATCCCCATGTCTTCAATATTGTTTATCTCATTTAATCACCCTCCTTTATTTATTGCCGACTGTTTATTGTNNTCTCTTATACACATCTAGATGTGTATAAGAGACAGGGGATAAACCATACAGAATGTTGGTGATTGCAGATTGTAAGTGCTGTGACTATATAATCCAGTAGTTACATTTTGACAAGTACTTGGCGACTACCAATTAAATGCAATAATAAACATTAGAAGATTGTGCATTAAATGTTTCGTATGTAATCATAATGATTTTAATTAACTAGGCCATACAATATGGTTATTTATGTCAAACTTTACTTTTAAACCGAGTATGGGATACTGTAAATAATCTTGTAATGGCAAATTAAAATAAGAATAACGAGTTGGATATTGTCAGTTTCATTCTTCTTTTTTACATGATGTTTATTTGTTTACTGTATTGTATATTAAAAATAAATTTAAATAAAAAATATGTACTTTTCAACCTTAATAATGTTTATTTATTCACTTTTTTATGTTACCCTGACACTTCACTATTAAGATGCAGTCTGGAAAAACATGAAATCTAATACTGCTTTAAGTACTGTTAAGTTATGTGTTACGTGATATTTTAAAAAATCAAGTAGCTCATTCTTTTTTTAAGGTCAGGTAGCTCACTATTTCCATAAAAAAAATGAAGAAATAAAATATTTCAGTTACAACTCATTTAATTTATGTTTACTTATTACTTTGTGCATAAATTGTACCTGCATATTATCTAGTCTCTTGACTATAGCAACTCCTTGAAGTTATCAACCTTTTATAGAGAAGTATATTTGGGAATTTTGCTGAAATCCATAGTTTTTTTTTTTTATTTCACTTTTACCGTATTCAATAAACCTCAATATTTGACCTTCATTCATGAACAGTATGTTTCGTTTAGCATCATACGCATGTGTTCACGGGCCACACAACTGCTACCTTTAATTGAAATAAGATTACCTAATGGTTAAGTACTTTCCAGACGACAATAATTTCAATGGAAAATGAAGTTATCACACATTTATAGTTGCTCTCATTCAATTTGGGTTTATTTGTGCATGTTGACGTTTTTGCTCTGTGTTACCAACTACCAACCCAATTGGCTATCCATTTCATGAAGTAGATGACATCTAGTGTGGTACATGAAATATTACTCCTAAAAAATTACCAAAAGCAACTTTTTAAATAATTTAAACAGTTTTCCGGGCCTTAATTTGAAAGATTAGTTTCACAACTTTAAATCGTGCATATGTACAGTATTAACAAAACAACCAGCTACTAAAGCGCCAAATATGAGTGTGACTGGTTTCCTAATTAGGTAGATTTACTATTCAAAATTTACTCCAGGCCCACAAATGTCAAATTTACACAAATAGATTGCACTTTTTCTGTTAGATTCATTTAATGTAGGTTTACTTTTGTTAGTGCAATTTTTTTGTCTGTGTTACCAAGCCAGTTGACTACCCATACACGACATTTGGTTGATTACTTAACGAGATATGTCATGTTCCCAGAATTAAAAGTGCTGTTTTTTGTAGTAGGAGCCAACATTGACGGGTCTGATGACTGGATTTTTTTTTATGGAGAACTTTTTATATATATGGAAACACATTCAATTTACAATATATACTCTCAATAACTAACTCTGAATGCGGTAATCGAATCTTTAAAGGATGCATTTTCTGAGTTTCAGCTTGTGGCCCTTTGCATGTCATAGTGTAGCGACCAAAATATGAGTAAGAAATTCAAATATTGACCAACCATGGGTTTTGCACACCTATACCAGGCCAAGGAATAGGATAATCACTCCTAGGATAGAGATACATGCAATGTAGGTATTTAGTGGGGAACCATTATATCAACACCAGGCCCACAAATGTCAAATTTACACAAATAGATTGCACTTTTTCTGTTAGATTCATTTAATGTAGGTTTACTTTTGTTAGTGCAATTTTTTTCTCTGTGTTACCAAGCCAGTTGACTACCCATACACGACATTTGGTTGATTACTTAACGAGATATGTCATGTTCCCAGAATTAAAAGTGCTGTTTTTGGTAGTAGGAGCCAAGACATTGACGGGTCTGATGACTGGATTTTTTTTTATGGAGAACTTTTTATATATATGGAAACACATTCAATTTACAATATATACTCTCAATAACTAACTCTGAATGCGGTAATCGAATCTTTAAAGGATGCATTTTCTGAGTTTCAGCTTGTGGCCCTTTGCATGTCATAGTGTAGCGACCAAAATATGAGTAAGAAATTCAAATATTGACCAACCATGGGTTTTGCACACCTATACCAGGCCAAGGAATAAGATAATCACTCTTAGGATAGAGATTCATGCAATGTAGGTATTTAGTGGGGAACCATTATATCAACAAAATGGGTTCCGTGAAACCCACCACGTACGTGTATCATCCCCTTATATATTACATTTTAGCACATACATAATATTACATTCAAAGCAATAGGCACTACTTGTGTCATCAATGTCATAATATAACATAGCCTCTCATATAGGCCTACATTATAGAATAAATACATAATGGGAAATCATTTTTAGTTAGGGAGTGGGTCAATTTGACTCTGTATATGGACGTGTGCATATGGATATATATATATATATATATATATATATATATACATATGCCTATATACATATATATGTATATACCTATATATATATGTATATACATATACATATATATAGGCCTATATATATATATATATTATATTCATATTATATATTCATGATAATTTAGAAAAGGATAGTTTCAACATTGGTATGCTAATATTATTGATAAAGTAAAAACAAATGTTTAATTATTGGAAGCATATTTCCAAAAGTTAAGAAACCAAACTTTCTTTTAACTGTATTTTAACGGTTTAAAATATTAAAGTTAGACTCCGGAGGAAAAAATAATTGATATGTTGTAGGAAAGGGTGTAACCGCCCAATTGTAAACCTTTTCCCCCAGTTTTTAAATATTAAAAAATCTGTATCTCATTTACCGTTCCCCAGTTCTTCGTCAAACAACTTTTTTTCTGTCTTAGAAAAATCAGATCTACAACATATCAAACATTTTTCTCTCTAGAGTCTGACTTTAATCAATACATTAAATACAACGATGCAGGAACCTTAAGTTGACTATATCAGAGAGCCTATATTTACCTAAAGAATCACACTATGTACACTTTGTAATACAAAGATATATGATGAAAACCACTCTGCAGGTGTGGATCAAGTTGGGGGTGGGCACGTTCCCCCTGTTTTGAAACTCTATTTTTTTCAAAAATTGCAATCCATGTCAGTGTTATGTTTTACTAGCTTGTCTATTCTGAAACTGTTTTGCTCCCCAACCCCCCCCCCTTTTTAAAAAAATTCTAGATCAGCTCCTGCTATGTGTTCAAATGTTTAAGAAACAAATACAATAAATATACTTTTATATCCGCCCGATTATTTATTAAACACAGACTTGATCTGTGTTACAGGCCTACAAATATTTCTATTATGTATTTGTTTCAATGCTTTCATGACATTGATTCTGCTAACGATAATGATGATAATGATGATGATGATGATGATGATGATGATGATGACAACTACAGCACAAAGCCATTCGGTTTTTATTTCAGTTCCAGCAGAACACCAACAATGACAACCAGAGCACCAGACCACCAAAAATGACAACAAGAGCACCAAAGTAGAAGTAGTAAAGTTGTTCAGGAAGTACAAATCAACAAATATAATATTCTTTTTTTTTTTTATTATTATAGTCGTGAGGTACCTTATTTTAAAATTATATATATACATATACACACACACACACACACACTCACAGA